TCCCTGGATATTTTATTACCTGAGGTTATCTCTGAAAGACTCAAGATCTTCAAACAGCATGATCATTTGAGGTTAATTCTATGATTTGTGTTTAATAGCAGAGGATAATTCTCCTCCATCACGTGACTGCAAAGAGTCTCAAATTCAGTAATACTCAGAATGGCATCTGTGAAATTTACACTTCAGTCTTAAATTATACTTTAGTAACTAGCAATGGTGTATAGAATTGGTTTAGGCATTTTTTTGTTTGGTTGCTTTTTAAATTTTAGTGTTTCATCAGGAAACACTGGAATCAGCTTAAGACAATGTTGCTTCAGCTCTATGATACAAGTGAAAACATTTTACTCTCATAGTTTGTGTTTATAACTTCACTCTCTCTTTCACCATATATGTGGCAAGATTTATCACATTATTAAGTGCATGATTACTCAACCATTTAAACAGTTTTGTGGGTTTCTGTTCTCTTTTTTCCCCCCAATTTATTAATCAAAGTGCCTCATTCAAAATAAACAGTGAGGATCTTTATGACACGAGCAACATAATAAAACTGTACAAAGTTTTTTTAACCACCTTAATGCCTTAATGCCTCTAATTTATATTCTTTGCACCCCCGCTAACATGAACTGACAAAATTATACCCAACTTGGTGCTGGTATAACTACTGGTAAGAGCAAAAATCTGTAGTTAACAATGTAAAATTCAAATGCTTTTTGTCATGACAGAATTTGAGTGTGTTAAAATAATTATAATCTTGAGAAAAAGATTATAATTATTGCTTTGGTTTTGTATTGTCCTTCACTATAACACAGGAAGCTCTAATAAGGGGGGCATGTGCACAAATATAAAATCTGGAAATTTTAGCAACCAGTCTCTGGGAAGCATTGCTGACTGGTAGAGAATGATTTTCTGGAGTCTTAAAATGAATTTTGCAGAAAACAACAACAAAACCCCATCTCTGACAGGACAGTCAGAATGTAAGTTAACATTTTATAGCTTTCAGCACTGCTGAATAATAGGTAATGTTGTGTAGAGGTAACTCTCAGAAAACAATTCAGGTAATTTTACTCCATTGCAATGCACTACAACACCCAATAACAAAATAAAGCCCAGCAAATCTTACTTCGTTAAGTCTGATATGAAAACTCCTCTTAGAGTTTCACAGAGGCCATCTTTTCCAAAATTAATTATGAACAGTAAAATCAAGAGGACAGAGAGTTATGTAGTGTTCATACATTACAATGTATTGTATCCTCTCGTTTATAAATTAACGGGTTTTAAACCAATCATGTTTGAGGACTACAATTGCCTGAACGCCACTTACAAAAATTCAACTTACACTCATGTACTTGTATTCCTCTATGCATTAACTCACGGAAAATAAGAGAAAGGTTTTACAACCTTGTTGACGCACAATGGGCTAAAATACTGCATACGTATGTATTTGAGGTACATTTTACTGGCACGTTTGGGGATATTTTTAAGAGTTGAAAAAATTACTTCTTTGAACATTTGGACTAGGTAGTTACTTGAAGTTTTAAAAGTCCGTAAGTGGATAGCATATTAAAAGTGCCCATCTAAACATGGTTGGTTCAAACAGCTTCAAAAGTCATGGTAAGTTTACTCAGAATAACTTTGGTTTATACTATTACCTCTTACCAATACAATGTTTTTGCAGTGTAATTGCTCAAAAATAAGTCATATAAAAAATAACATGCAAAGGTCCAGAAAAATCAATGCCTAGTCCCAATACATGGCATCTCTGCCTGGGCCTCCATTTCTCTCTAGAAGTTGTGTATTAAAAAGGTAGTAGAAAAACATGTATCTTTCAGACAGTCTGAACTTTGTCCTCATTCTGTAATGTTACAAGAAATCAGAAAACAGACAAACAGCATAGACTTGCACAAGAAAAGGCTACAGGAGTTGTGACCAGACAGCCATTCCTGATGCAGGAGAAAACCTGAGTGTGCTTCGTACTCTGGAGAGAGGGTTCAAGGAAAGTTCAGCAGTTTATCCTTGAAATCTGTTCATGGGTTGTGACCACAAATGCCATGGGCCAAATTCAGTTGTAAGCAGGTGGAATTTCCTTTCAGCCAAAGCTGAGTTTGGTTCCAAGGGACTCAAGAGATCTTTAGTTGCAAATATGAAAGACGTGTGTACTGCAGCTTCTATTGTAGTCTCCTAATTCTCTTGCTGGGCTGATCTAGTGCAACACAAGTTACACCTATAACCACAAGCTTAGGTTATGTGGGTCAACCAACTTTCTGAATAACTACTGTAAACTACGAAGTCTTTTTCATAATCATTAGGTTCGAAGAACTACTTAGTTAGATAGATGCAAAACATCCGGACAAGATTTGTGTAAAGAAATATTATAAACAGGGGAAAGGTCACCTTGGAAAACCTCAAGGAGGAAACAGAAATAATTTCTTAATAAAATCAGAAAGCAGATTGTATGACCCATATAAGAACAATAAAAATGACCGTATAGCTCCTACTAAAACTTCTTCCAGGGAGGTTTGAAGGATAAAATATCTTTTAAAACATTATTTCACACTGAAAAACGTTAAACATCCTTAGAGGTTATGCATTTCAGAGTATCATGTCAGTAAATGAAAATGTTAACTATGAACATTATTTTTATCAAGAGATAAACAAATCTTAAGAGCTATGAGAAAAAGGACTTTAAATTACCATTTAAAATACAACACTGAATGAGATTAACACTTCACTTGGATAATTTTTATAGGTGATTGCTTCAGACCTGACTAGATTGAAACGAAAACAGGAATAAAATGAAACAGGTTGAGGATGATAAGAAGTGGCCACTGAGACAAAAATATTTATTCTTTTCTACTAACTGGGGAAAAAAGTTGCAGAGAAGGATACTTCAAAAGATAATAGCCTCAAGATGATACAGTGTAAGCTTTGTATGAGTTCAAGAACTAACATAACAATATTCTCCTAGCACCATTAATTTACAAATGTAAGGAGTCCACAAGAGCACATGTCTTTGCAATTATTTCAAAAAAGCAAAGCCCATACAAAGCTGAAGCTCCAACCTACATGCTTATACAATGCTAGGTGACACAGATGCCCTTATTCCCACCATCTGTTAGTATTCTAACACAAGTTGTTGCTCCTCTTGGTTGGTCTCACCTTCTCT